AAAAATAATAAAGTTCTATAAATAAAGTGCAAGTAAAGCAAAGTGAAGGCGTACAAGGGCGACAATTTTTAGGGTAATGTAATTTTTTAATTAATAGGAAGATAATTTGACACTGAGCAAAAATGAATGTTATATGAAAAGGAAAGGCACATGCGGGATAAAACAGAACGAAGATACGATGATGAATAGCGAGGGATGAAGCGGGAAAAAGCGGAGGACGAAGATACGGGAACGGAGGCTGGAATCCTCCGGAAGTACGTCCGACGTACCGCCCGTGTTTCTCCATTTTTCAAAAAATAAAAGCGACCGCAGTGTCGACTCATTGTTTGGATCTTCCGACTGTTTGCGTTAGATGCGTAGCTTGTGAATAGGCTTATGAAGGGTGGTCGCGTTGCGCGTGTATGTGTGCCCCGCGCGGGGGAGTATGTGTACGTGTGCTCCGGTTGAATCTCTCTTCGTTGGAGGAATGTGTCGCTATGGAACCAAGGAAAATATTATCACTTTTGTCCCACCCCTGCGATGCTCCCACTGTTTTCACGAGAATCCGCGTAACGCAGGAGTGAATCAATCGTCCGTATTTCTTTTCGATTTATCAGTGCCAGGGAAAGAAAAAGTCCGTTTCCATCGACATTTCACTTCGACGGTCCCTTTCTTTCCCGACCCTTCATTGTCATAAATCTGGTAACAAGATCAACCCGATGAAAGTGTAACTTCGCGAAATTGATCGCGCTATTCGTTTTATGTGTTTTTCATCAAGTGATTGATTTTGATAATTAAAAAAAACCTTCATTTATCGAGCGTATATACATCGCGCCCGCGAAAGCGATAATTTCACGAGATTATTAACGACGCCATAACGTTCTCCATTTTTTTTTTCGATCGAAATCGATCGACCGTGCGGCGGATCATTGTAATGCAAGGAACAACCAAGGTCTTAATATACGTATTGCGTGGAACAAGTGCCGACATTTATAAAATAGCGCGTGGCGACGACAATGCGTCTGGCTGAAGCGTGACCTAACACGTTGAGACGTCATATACGAGAGATACACTTTTAAGAGAGCTTTTCACGTTCCGTCTGTTAATGACAGAAGGAGTCGAGAGGCAGACAGCATCGTGCGATGTGACGAGAATGATGACGTCACGTGTCGGATGGTTAACAGCGAGGAGGTAATTAACGTTGAGGATGCTTCATCAGTCAAGAAACTAACCCCTCGGCATCTCCGCCATATCCAAGGACACGACCTGTCGTATCTTTATTTGAGCCAAACAAGGACGGTTGACGTGGTAGGGTGATTATTAATTCAATTATGCCGCGTACTAATTACCCCGATATGATGATTACGTATACGCGCACTTTGACGTACGAGAACTTGGAATTATTCCGCAATTAATTAATAATAAAACCTCTCGTAACAGACTCTGGTAATAGAAATGAATTATATAGAACAGGGAGAAACTAATTCCAAGTATAACAAGTATAAGAATCGGTAGCGATATCTTCAAGTATTTATGAGAGAGAAAAAAAGAGAAAAGGAAGAGAAATGTGTGACGCAATCTACACACAACTCTATTATTGTGAAAAATTATTATGAAATATTATTATGAAAAATTTAGAAAAAATCCTCTCAACATCATCGTGCCATTTTTGTGAAAATTAGGTAAGAGAATTCGAATATCAATTCCGCAGTAGAGAGACGGCGGTAAACGTAACAACCATATTTCAGCAATATGGAGGCAGGCCAAGTCCATCCCTGATCCTGGATACTTGCTTCTGTTTGCCGTCATTTCGACCGCATGAGAATGTGTACATAATTTCATGCAACTTTCTCGGTTTTGTCTGAGCAGCTACTGGCGATAAATTTTACTCGGACGGCACGAGGGAAATAATAAAAGACGGTAGGTGCGTAACACGTGCTGCTCTTTCGTGTTGCGCGGTAGGTAGGCCCACAGTTCCGGCATGGTTACATCACAGCGTGTCATACAATCGCTATGTAGAACACAACAAGACGCACCCGAGACCATAAATCGCTCAAATTTGAACGCAATGGTGCAGACCGGCTACAGAAATAAATCTCAAGGCTTTCTCTTAAATCTGGCCTTTTCCTTTCGCTTTGTTTTCGTGCCGCGGGCATTTCCGAGCGATTTTTATTAAGTTTCGATCTTATCGCGGTACAAATAGGAAAAATTCACGTCGAAGTAAATTCGCACAAGTGCACTTGTTACACGGGGAAAAAGTAACACGTCGGAGCGATATATCCTCAATTCTGAAATCGAACAAACGGCGATAATGCGGTCGGAATTCAAGTAACAATAAAATCGCTATCCGTTCCGTGGATCAGAAGCGACGGTGGCGAAACGCTAAAGCGTGAGCTCGAGCAATGGAAGCAAGAGAGCAGCAAGTGGCTCGTACGTCAGCCGGTGGCTCGTAAACGTCAGCGGTGGTGCTCGTAAACGTAAACGCGATGCTATAAGGGGATGTACAGCGGCGCAGCCGGGGAGTCACCATGGCATAACAGTTAAAGAGATACATGTATATGTATAGAGAGAGAGACGATCCATTTAGCGGTTTAAACGGGGTCGTTATATCGCCGTTTACAACGAAACAATCTGCTCCTGAATATCTGGACACGTGTCGTGAGATTTAGAACGGGCGGAGCGAAATGTTAGATTACCGCGGTAAACGGCTTTGAGTGCGTGCGTGTGTGTATTAATTCTGCCTTCTATACTAATGCAAATAGGAATTATACCCATTTTCCGTCATATAATTGTTGCTTTGCTTAGACTGGACGTTTTCTCTTGATATGTTACATTGGCACCATCAACTGATGACTCCTTCGTCTTAACGAACATTTCGAATTTTGAAAAAATCATAATATATCATTATTGCGACATACATGTGTATAAAATGTTAAAAGAAAGACTTATAAGGCATACAGTATTCATGAAGTTAAAAAAAAATACATTTAATAAACATTAATTTAAAACAACCGGCTTCGTCAGAGGTAATTTCGTCGATTTTCATCACGCATAATTTGTTTATTTCTTTTTATTGCGTCCACAATGCTTTTTACTCCTAAAGCATTGATCTTTAATCACTTTAAAAATGCGAAGAACAAGCTCTTCCGGACTAATGTTTATGGAAATCTTCCTTCTCGTTTTTGTCATTCCAATAGTATTCCATGAGTTATATCTATAATTTCGTGACATCCTGTATATAAATCTCGTAAGGAAAGATAACCGAATACGCCAAAAACGTGATTTACTCTTCGACAAACACCCGCCAAACTTCTGTCTTCGTACCAAAATAATAAATCACTGCGGTATGTTTATCTCATAACTTAGCCCGCTGCGTAATAATCTCAATTAACGACGGAGATTTATCAATAAGCAAACAGCCATCTAAAAGATGGCAATTAAGGGGTGCGCGCTAAGGAATGCCGGGTGGTATCAAAATGCGATAGAATAAATTCACATCGAGCGAAGGATGCTGGGAGATTTAATAAAAGCGAGAAAACCGCCGAGAGGGGGTGACTGCAGGTATTATTGAATGGCAGAAAAGGCGAGGCCATCGAGTTTTCGGGGTTAGTGATTAAACTGGGGATTGAATCCTAGAGATCGGGCGAGTACGCCGCCGAATCCTACCGTGGTATTTGCGGGGATGGCAGGAAGGGGTTGAAACAACAACGTTCTGTGTTTAATCATGTCTGACCGAGCGAGGGGACCTTTAGACAGGGACGGAATTTGCATAGTTGGGGCTCACATGTTCATAGACCTCTACTGTAATCCATACGCGAAAAGAGGACATACATATAAATTGAAACTTCTGCGTAACGTTTGCTTTGGCATTGATTGTAGCGGCAAGAAATAACAATTATTTTTTTATTTTATGTATAAATGATTATTTTAGTCATGATGTTTTGATGCAGTGTTGATGCAGTCGTAAATCTTGTTTTTTTGTGAATCACTGCACGTGGAGCAAGCATGCACAGAATAAATCTTCATGCGGAAGAAATCATAATAATAATTGATTTTCGCGTGACACACAGCTGAGGATAAATGTTAATCCAATAATTAATACAAATAAATTATATGAATCAAGCCGAAACAATGATATTAATATGTTGCGTAATATAATGTCGCTTTTCTTGTCGCAAACAGTAATAAATGTATGCAAATGTGAAATGTGAGAAATAATTATGATGAGATTTATAAATTATAAAATCTTTTGTCGCATTAGTACTCTAAAAAATTCCTACAAGAAGATATCGTAGGAATTAAAAACATATTTTTACGCATATTTTATTTCAACTTCGAATTAAAAGACGCAATACACAAAGGCGTATTATTAAACGTAAAGAATTCGAGTACTACTCAAAAAAGAAGATACGCACGATATCTCAATCACCGATAAAACCAGCAATAACTTGTAACACCACCCAGAAGGAAGATTGCGGGTGCGGCCGCGAAAATAAGAACGACAGGAAATGCCAAAATTATGATAATGATTCGGAGCCGTTTTCAGTTAAGACATTAGGCGACGTGTATAATTTAGACGAAAGCCAGACCAGTAAGTAAAGACCGCGTAGCATCGATTCTCGTAATAATAAACTTTAATATATATTATGCAGATTGCAGTTAAACTGGTGCACATATTTTTATCTATATCTTTCTTTCCGATATAATTTTATCAATAAAAAACGATCGTACGTAGCGTAAAATTGAAGATCTCTGCTTATGTTAATCGCTCAAAGTACCGTTCGGTGTGTTATTATTATTTCATTATTATTACCTTCTTAAAACCTGCAGAAACGTATTTTATCAACTGCAATCGTAAGCAATACATAAGGTTTCTATTGTGTAAAATATCGTTATTATAGCGAATTAAAATGAGAGCAGGTGAATCGAAGTATCTTTTTATTCATTTTACGTAACGTATTTATAATATATATATTTTTATTAATAAATTTTGTTGCCTTGAATGAACAGCTGGTCAAAATATGATGTGTCGTAAGCGGCGCATGTTCTTGGGCGGTGCATGCGCCCCTGGAGAAAAATTAAACGCGTACAACGTGCGGAAAGATTGGTAGGGTGCGGATGAGTATCGGGCAGAAAGGCGGAAAAAGGTAAGATGATGGTACAAGAAGGATAATAATCCGTAGTTTCGATCAAGATTATAGCCGCGGTAAATGAATAGTTTACGAGCAGCGAAAATGAGACGGGTAAAATGTTAAGCCCTTCGCCGGGATCGAGTGGTGGAGCCCCTTTTATACACCATTCGCCTGTAATAAACTTCAATGTTAAATGTCTTTATTGCGTTTTCTGAGGCTAGTCCGCTGTGTGTATGAGGTAATTGATATGAGCAAACCGAAAGGCGTAGTGCGCTAGTCGTGTCCCGTCCGCGAATTACACGCAAGATGCCCGCGCTAAAAGGACAGATAAGTATTTAATGACTAGTTTTGTAACGGCTTGATTCTCGGTTAAAGAATCTCATCCGCTGCTTAAGCTGAATCCTTAATCCTGCGCGGAAGCAAGTGTCAGTCACATTATTACAGTGAATCTCCGATTACCTACTTAGGATACAAGATGATGATGTGGATTGAAAAGCGTAAGACAAAAATAATGTCATGCGAGTTGGAAAATTCTGTGTCCTATTTTTTAACCGGTCATTAAGTTGTTTACTGCGATTAAAACTACAAAATATTCAAAAAATTATAATTGTATAATTATAAAGAAGATGTCAACCGATTGATACTCTTTTTCGGAACGAAATGTATTTTATAACACGTTAATTTTTATCATTTTTTTTCCTATAAATCTTCGAGTTTAATAAAAAAAAACCGTAGTTAGGAAAGCATGCTGCAAAATAAGCCTAGAGTATCTCGTACGCTTTATTCATTTTTGCACAACGTGTCAGAGATACGTTATCTCTCTCTCTCTCTCTCTCTCTTTCAGGTATCTCACGTAATCTAAGCGATGCCGTTTGAAACTCTAGTTTTGGGCCACCACTCATCCTCTGACGAGACAAGTCGTCGATCAAACGCGCGTCTGCCCCTGACCAAGGTTCGCTGAAGATTTAAATCAAGAAATCAAACAAAATGAATGCTGCATACCGTCGGTAGACAGGTTTAGGCGTCAACCCAGCAGGTCTATCTGGCACGTAAGTACATGCTGCGAGTATGTCGGGACCGTAGAATGCACCAATCGATACATATCTCCCGTGTGCATATACAGCGCTACGCCCGCGCCGGTGTACGCGCGCACGGACACGCGTGAGCGCGGTGTGCGCGCGTGTGCATGCGGTCGCGAGCATGTATCCGAAATGAATTGACCGGTGCGTAGTTGATGGACGTAGCGGGTGGCTCGTTATGCTTACAGCCCGCCCAGCAATCAAGAAGAATTCATACGCCTGACGTGTCGCTCATGATGGAGGTCCAAGCTACGTATCATCCATCTTTCGGGGTCTTCGCAGCAGTATGTGACGCGGCACATGGCGAAAACTTCAATTCCGTTCCCTCAAACTTTTTTACACGGAGTCTATTTATGGAGAAAAATATGCAACCATTTTTCAATTTATAAAAATGATGGCGCGGTCTAAAGAATAGAAAATAAGAAAAACTATCGGTCCTCCTCCCCCTCCCCTCCCCCTTCCCCTCATCTCGCTTCATCTTTCCCGGTTCGGAGTGAAAGATGTATTCTCTCTCGCGAAAGATGTCCGAGCACGAGCGGGGCGTATTATTGTTACAGGAGCACGGAAGGGAGAAAGAGCGTCCGATGATAACATTTCGTACAAGTGCGTGCGTATGACTCTCGGCCGACTGACTGCCGCTAATTAATGACCCACTACTGCCGGAGATAAGGTATAACGCAGATTCTTTCCTTTCGAAGTTTCTTTCTCTCGTGCCCGGGGATGGTACGTCGCGGAAAAGGTGGATGAAAGCATCGGCTAGGTCGGCGTTGGCCATGGTGTGAGTTGAAAGAAGAGAAAGAAGGACGATGGGAAGAGCGAGGGAGAGGGCGAGGCGGGAAGGAGGGGCGGGGGGAGGTGGTCGACGTGGCTTGGGGGAGTTTTTCTCGTTCCCGGCTTCCGTCTCCTGGGACGCGAAGCGCGAGGATCTTTTTGCTCGCCTCGGCGGAGGATCAGACGTCCCACTTTATCTCCGACGACCCGTTCAACCCCTACTCCCTCCCCCCCCCTCCCCGTCACCCTCGTTCTACCTCTCCTCGACCCGCGTTCTATCCTACTGCAGCCCCCGTTGCGCCCCGGTTTCTACCCCAACGTCATCCCCCTACCCTTCTCACGTCACCCAGAGCTATGGTTGATCACGTATAGGAGGAGCCTCTAGCAGCGTCTAGAGTGACGCGTCGTGGAGGAGCCATTTGTCATCCATCAGCACACGGTCCTATCTACGCAAGATTGCACAAGAGAGCCTGATCCGACTTGGCCTTATTGTACTTATCGTCTTTCCGCCATTATTTAACATCGAGCGACGGGATGATTTTAGAAACAATTTAATTATTTTCAGATACTCGAATAATAAATTATCGCTAAGATTACGCCATCAGGAAATTGCAACTGCGACATCGAGCGACAGCGAGCACTTTGTGCCTCGCGCACGCACGATAAATCAGTTTGATAAACATATCGCTTTGGAAATTTATACGCTTAACATTCTAAAGAACATCCGCTGTCGAAGGTGTGTCGTTTATAGCGGACGATTAAGAGCGAATGGGGAGAAGAACGGCTTGAACTCGTAAGAAATAAATCTTATAAGTAGGCAGTTCACGATACAAGCGGCGGTCACAAATCCGCGGATAAGCCGTCGGAAACAAAAGTCCCGTTGTCGAGGCTGGTGTTGACCAGAATGCAGTATACATTGGGGATAAACCGAAGGGTAGAAAGCTGCAAGGAGAATGAACGGTCTGTGATCGAATCATCATTACAAACGACCCGACAATTTGAGGCATGCGCCGTTGTATATATATTGCTTGTTATATATCGATTGCCTCACTTGTTCGCGGTACCATCCCCAGCCTGCTGATAACTCAGATATTTTCCACGTCCGCGCGCGTCAGAAATTACACCAATCACGTAGCTGTTTAAAGTTCGTATTACCGGCAACAAACTTCTAATTTATTTCGCGGCAGCACGTTCATGTTAGATACCGGAAACATAAATTCATATAGCATTAGGTACATAATATTTCGCACCGGCAAATAAATATTATTATATTTTTTTTCGATGCTGGCATTGTCGATTGATTATCGACATTCGAAATGGAATAACGATATACAGGAGTGAATAATAATTCGGCGTAAAATAATTAAAAAAAAAAAATGCACCAATAAATGCGAGTAATTAGTTATAAATACACAGGTTTTTCTGCGCGATACGCTCGGCGCGGCGGGAAGGAGAGCGGGAGAGCGGTAGCACAATGGATGATATAGGTATCGCCAATTTTTCTCCCGTCCGCTAGATTTTTCAATGTAACTTGAGAGCCGCTCCCTCGCGAGGTCCCAGGACACAGGAATGGATGAACAGGCGTGGAGAGAGGGTAGCACGGGGGTCGCGCGCGGCGACAAGAACAGCGGAGGATAAGAGAAAAGAAGGACAATTGTGCGAGGGGCGCGGGAGACGAGATAGACACGGAAAGAGAAAAGGCCAGGCCCTATTTCTCCTGCGGGGGAATACAATAATGCTCGGGGGAAAAAAAAGGAGCGCGAGATGGGAGGAAACGAACGAATCTCGGCGCTATCGTGACTGCATCCACGACGGCGGAAAACCTGGCGGCGCACGAGGGGTCGCGGAGGGTGCCGATGGTGGGGGGAGGGGGATGCCTCGGGCAACGGTGTCATTAATAAAAGTGTCAATGATGTCAGTGGACTAATGTTGGTAGTCACTCGCTCGCCTGGCGGATTGGGGCGGTGGCATCGCCCAACGTCCTATCGAAGAATTTCACGTCTCTCCCAAAGGCTGAATCGTTTTCGACTGCGTCGCCCCGTTTGATTCGTTTCTCGCCGATACTAATAAAAAGGACCGGCGTCCGTTGTTCGCTGTACGCGTTTATTTTACGCGCGAGACGACTCCTTCAAGTCCGCCTTCGTTCGCGTAACTTTTAATTAATTAATTTTAAAGACAAAATATTACTTCGATTTGTTATCGATACGTGCTTGAATAATGGAGGAGACGCTTCGCGAAGAACGTGAGAAACTCTCTTGCACAAAGCAGTTATTTCTTATTGGAACACATTAAAAGTGCATTAATGTTCTAACTATAGCTCGCTACACAATCCCTCGCTCTCAGCCCCATTTCTTCTCTCACGAAAGCTTTACATTAATTTTGCCGAAATTGCGTGTTCTGCCTCTTCGTTTCGTCCAGCGCTCATGGCAGCTGAAGGGAAGAGAGAGAGAGAGAGAGAGAGAGAGCCCTTGAGATTCGGTTTCCGTTCAGGAAATTTTATTTTTATCCTACGGTGAACTCCAGCTACACAAATAAGTGTACATTCGACGAAACTGATATTTTTTTCTGCGCACAAATACATTTCTGAAAGTAACGCGCATGTGTGCGAGGCAACGTAAAGACAAATTAACGCTTGGACGCAATGACGCGAGAGCAGATCTGCAATAATATCGCTATTGCTTGGGAACCGAATGCAATTTTACATTCAATTACACGCCGCCCATGGTGAAAGGAAGCGTCTCTCCTCTCAGTAAGGGTGTATCGACGCAGGGCGATAGAACAGGTTTGCAGATCGGAGGTTGGTTGCTGCGCGGGAATATCTAATAAGAACCTAGAAGCTCATCCATCCTACCACGGAGCACTCCAGGGGCTGTCACCGTAAGCGTCAGCGTACTGTGGAGAAGGGGTGATTTACATAGTAATAATATCGAGATTCTGGACTACGTTGTGAAACCACAAGTAGTTCGAAGCAAGCAACATGAAAATAATTCTTTAGACAATAATTAACGTCGATAAGCGTCAACGATTGCCGAGCGACATATCGCAGAATCGTTTCTAAATGATAAAATGTTTAATTTACGACGCAATAATTTTGTAAAAAAGAGGTATCCGTGTAATATCGTTAAATCTGAACATTTTACGTAAGTAATTGATTAGAATTCAGATCTGTTTTTAACAATCTCTCCGAAACAGATTGCTTCAACATTATAATAAGCGCCCGAAGTATATATAGCACGAGCCATCGGCAAAAATAACATTATCGATTTCTTGTCTCCATTCTATCTTCGCAATTGTTGAGAGAAGGAATTTCTCTCGTCTCCCCTACATGAAAGAATCGGCCCTCCAACAGCAGAACAGTATTTCTTCCGGACGTTCTGCCGACGGCGTTGCGCTTCTTTCATCCTGCAGGAATTTAAGAGTTATCGCCGATGTCAGGAATTCCGGGAATCTCCGGGCTAGACGCCGGGACAGGAGGGGATGTGACGAGAGGCGTAGATGAGAATTGGCCGATTAGAATATCAAGAGGTTAGTACTGCCGGCGGTGGTGTGACGCTGACATAATAAGTAGGCGGGATAAACAATAAAAGGGGCGAAAGAGCGCAAGGGTTCACCTCTCCGGCGTCTCTCCGCGGACAAAGAGGGTTCAGAGTCCGGATCTAACGGGGGCTTTGACGTCTCCCTTCGCGCGTAAAGAGCACAATGTTAATTAACGAGAGAAGAGCCGACTCTCGGCCGCGTTCGCGATTCTCAATCAACGATGGCATTCACGAGGCGCTTGTCTCTACCCGGGACAACAAAAGGAACACGTTAATACCTTCGCATTAATGCAAATTATTTATGAGCGCGCAACCATTTTCGTCGGCGAAATTCGCAAAAATGTCAGCCGCTTAAAATTTGAGCAAACATTTTCTTCGCGGCGCAGAAATTTAAGTAATAATTAACTCGGCATGCTGTACGAGACAGTCGCCGAATAAATCATCCACTGACATCACGAACGGCGACAGAGCTGAATTCTAATACACTAATATCCTGTACCTTCTTTATCCGATCTTTTTGCGGGCAGATATTTTTTGCATAACTCTACCATACGACTATTCCCCTCTCGTCGCCGCCATCAGCACCTCCCTCTCCGGGCTTTCTCTCTTCCCCGCCCTTCGACGAGCCAGCCTAGATCCCCACTCGTCCCGACCACACGTCCCTTTTCCCTCCACTCTGACCAACTTCCACAACCTCTCCTACCGACACCTCATCTCTCGGCTCTCTCTCCCTTCTCCGTCGCTCCCTACCGCCGCCGCCGCCGCTGCCGCCGCCGCCGCCGCCGCCGCCGCCGCCGCCGCGGTTCCAAACGCTGTACACGAGGCTGCGGCTAAGAGCAGAGCGACGTCGGCGACGCCACGCACCCCGACGTCGCCCTGACGCGCTCTACTGACGCTGCGGAGCGGAGATTAATGGCTTCGGACTCTGAAATCCTGGAAAATAAATAGCGAGACCCCGGTGGCGAGAGAGGGAGTCCTGCGGAGCAAGATGCGGTCCCTCCTTCTCCGTGGCTTCGCTCGCCTTCCCGCTCGTCCGTGCGAGAGAGCGAGAAAGGAAGGATCGC